ATCGTCCACTCGCCACCGAACCGTCGGCTAGCCGCCCCAAAGCCCAGATCCGCGGCCAGCTCAGCACAGCCGATCGATGCCATGCTCTTCACAAGGGTGAACAGCAGGTCTAACAAAGGCACCCACCTCGAGATCTCCTCGGCTTTTGCTTCGCCGCGGGCGTGTGGAGATGAAATCCTCCAAAGCAGGCACAAGCGTAGCGACCGACTCGACGCACTCTGCCGAGCGCTCCTCGCACTGAGCCATGCGTAATTAGGTCTACCAGCCATAGCAGAACTCATCACTGAACAGAGGCAGAGAACGGATCTTCCTAACAGACCTGTCCATCCCTGATTAAGCCTGAACAGCAGCGCCTGACGAGCAGGACGATGCGGCCGAGGTTCTCGCCAGGGCCCGTGACCGCATGAGGACCGACGTGCGGTTCTCATGCACTTCGTCGGCGATCCCGAAGGTTTTCGCTGAAGTTCTGCAGGCTCGCGAGGCACAGGAGTTCAAGCGGATCAGCACCGTTCGTGTGGAAGAAACGGGGCCGAGATCATGGCGGCCAGCAGTTCCTCGCCAACATCGGCTGCGATGCCTTTGCTTGGAGACCGGCAGGTCCGTATGCCATGCAGGAGCCGACGGCACGATGGTCGAGAAGCTTCGGAGTTTTGTGCGATAGCCCTTGAAGATTTGGGCGATCGCACCGTTGTTCCGACCTGTGTGACGGTCTTAGTGTTAGCCGGCGGATCAGCCGAGCTTCTTCCAAGCGCGGAACAAATGTGAGCCGAGCATGGTCGAGCGATCCTCTCGGTGCGCGAGATCCCAGCGCTGTTCTGCACATTTGTTCGCATGTTCAGCATCATGCCTTGGCTCAGGCACGGCGCTCGGATTCTAGTGAACTCGCCCTCTGGGATCACCTGGATGGCAGAAACCCGCTGATCATACATCTGCCGTGCAGAGGCGGGAATCGCCCAAGAAGCCGATGTGCCCAGCTAGCGAACCGCGTGCCTGGCCGCCTCCTCCATGATCGCGGGCGGGCCACTGTGAGGTTCCACTGCCAGCCCCGCATCATGAGAACGATGCGCCAGAGCTTCCTGCCTCACGAACTAGAGGGGATTGACGTGCAGCTTCGAACTGGCCCTCACGTGGAAATCACCTTCTCCATCAAGCGGGAAGGCATCCGTTCCTCGGCATTCGCCGCTCGGGACGACTTGTACCATGGAGCTATCACCGCAGACAGCTGAGCGAACTGCGAACTGCTGCACATGGCCGGGCCTTTCAACGCGAGCGCGCTGCTGGCGGCAAGCCTGGATGGTGTTGATCAACGTAACGCCGGTCCACGAGATATGGCTGACCGAAAGCCATGTCCCCGGCAAAGATGTTCGCCCACACTTCAGGTCGATCCGGTTGTTGGCGTCCCTTATAGACTCGATCGGCGCAATTCCCATAGCCCTTCTCCGACGACCCAGAGGTGACCGCGAGGTCCGATCGACCTGGAACGGCCTGATCAATGGCTCATCCCTGTCGACCACCAACAAGGAGTTGCGGGTGGGATATTCCGCCTCGACCGCTAGCCGCTAGCTGCTGCACCGCGAACGCGTTATGACATTATGAGGAGGAGGAGTGGTCCGATCTCCTCTTTGGCGGCGACGATCGCGATCGCTGCCCCATCCTCCACTTCCCCAGTCGCCGGAGGCTGCAGGCGGAGGTGTACAGCCCCCATTGACCAACATCTGCTGCTGGAGAGTATTTGGCCCGAACTGGGGAGTCTGCAGCTGAGCTTCTGGGCCACGATAGGGGCCGGCTGCAGGGAACCACATTGCTGGTCAAGGGTCTAATCTTTCCCCAGGCCGACGATCGAAAATCAAAGCCGATCGGCTTGAGCCAAAATGGCTACCGAAAAGTCAGATCGCGGCTGTTCTTACGATCTGTAAACTGACCTTCTAGTCCCTACCTAGTAGAGCGAGGATTAGGAGACATAGATGGATGGATAGATAGATCGATAGATAGATCGACCGATAGATAGATAGATAGGCACATGGATAGACAAATAGACAGACAGGTAGGTAAATAGATAGGTAGATAGGTAGAGAAGTAGATAGGTAGATAGGTAGATAGGTAGATAGGTTGGTAGGTAGATAGGTAGATAGGTAGATAGGTAGATAGGTAGATAGGTAGATAGATAGATAGATAGATAAATAAATGGATAGACAGATAGATAGATAGATAGATAGATAGGTAAGTAGATAGATAGATACATGAATAGATGGATAAATGGATAGATTGGACCCCCTCCGTTGCCAATGGCATCGCCGAATACAGTTGCCTGGAGCCTCAGCGCACGTGCGGGAGGGTATCCTGTACCCACGGGACCGAAGCTCAAGGCCCCAGCTGTTTCTTTCCCTCCCGCTTCCCAAGCTCTTCCACGGTGGGGGGACCCACACGCAGAACCATTGGGGGAATGCCAGAGCCTAAACATGCCTAAACCAAACCAAGGGGGGATGAGCAAATGGATTGATACCATGGGGGGGGTGGGGGGCCGCCAGGGCCTCTGTCTATCCATCTTTCAATGTATCCATGTGTATCTTTCTCTATATATAGCTATACCTACGTTTATATGGCGCCGACGCTCAGCGACATAGGATTAGTGGAACAGCCGAGCATCAGCGCGTCATCCACCAGCCTCCTTTCCGAGCCAAGGCCTTCCGATGTGGCTCCACGGGGCTCGCGGTTACCACTGGCGGTCACACTGACAGAAAAACACGCTTCCTCGCACCTCTGCTGCTGGTCCCCGACTGTGTTGCGCTATCCGTTTCCGTAGCCAAAAGGCTGGCAACCGAAGGTCCTCTCCACAACTCCACAGCGAGGCGATTGTGTAATGTTGTGTATCTTCGCATCTTGGGGGCTCAGCATTAAATCCAACGGATCTACAGCAAGGCCCCTGGCAGGCTCCTCGCTCGTACTCGAAGTCCAACGGAATTGGCGAGTTCGGCGTGGATGGGCCTATCGTCGGCAGCTTGAAACCCGCAGAAGCAGGAATCGAGGTTCACTGCAAGCACCGCTCCCAAGTATCCTCGGCTAACGCTCGCCCCTTCCGCATAGATGCTGGACGAGTAACTTGGTGCTGCCGGAAAGTTTGGAGTGCTGGGTGGGGGCCCAGACGGCTGTGGCTGTGCTACCTCGACAGAAGAAACATTCGAGTTTGAACATGGGAGCCCTTCATTTCCAGAGACTGGTGACTAGTGAATGTTCGGAAGTTCAGCCGCACAATTGTCAAGAAGAGCTTCTCGTAAATCATGCCGCGGGACTGTACGACAGGGAAAGGATGCCATGTTGTTCTGATTCCGCCTACTTTGTTGCAACCCGGACACTCACGTCAAAGACTAGTAAGGTCTGAAGTGTCAATTTGATTCGGCGTGCTCTTGTGCAAGGTGGTGCAGTGCTTGCCCAAGTCGCTGGAATCCACGGCTGCCTCAGGCAGCAAGCAAGAATGAGCAAGAGGAGATGATCCGAAATGCAGCTAAAACCAGCAGGCAGGGGAGTTTGCCGCGTGTCCGACATGTGTCATGCGTCCTCTGGTGATATGCATCTTGAGTAACTGAGCCCAAACCTTGCAGGTCTGCTAGACGGCAGAAGGCACTGCATGCAGTACCTGGTGTAACCTCCGTGCACAGTGCTGGAAACCATAGACATCGATACTTCATGGGCAAGCAGCGCAGTCTTCGAAAAAGGCCATCGGCCGTACGCGTGTCGATTTGCGGCCAACAGCACAAAACACCTAAGAAACGAAAAGTCCCCAGTAATGCCCCGGCACTGCCGGGCTGGTGTGGCACAGCCGCTGGTCACAGGGGGCGTGGAAGCAACTGCCCCTGCAGTCAACAAGCATAGAGGAGCCAGACTAGAAACAGTAGAAACCTGATCCGGCGGCTTAGGGATTTGCCTGTAGCAGGCCTAATGGGCCTAATGACTGCCCGCACCGACAACGACTCGGCTTTCAAGTGGCAGACTGAAACAGACCACGTTCATGAGAGGAATCCTGGCCACTTGGCCTGCGAGAGGGGAGCCTTCGGTCTCTGCCGATGGTCCGACATGCCTTGGGTGGCCCAACAAACGCATGCTGACTCTAAGACTCTTGCTCTGCACCCTCTGTGGACGAGGCGGCAGACTTACACGCAATCTTTGCATGTGGCAGGCTCACCAATGCGATGTGTACCGGCGCTGCCGCTAAGGTGGCCCGAACGGCCGGCATGAGCACAAGCAAAGATTGGGGGCAGCGCGGGACCGCTTTGACAGTTTGTGAACCTCGGCTTCGGATTCTGAGGAGAAATGAGGAGAGGTTGAGGTTGCTGGGCAGATCTCAAATACCAAAGGGGAGATGGGAATGGAAGCGCTCCAAAGCATTTACAGCGGCTTCGCGCGGCGGCCTGCGCGAAGTGCTGTGAGGAGCTTCTCCAGCTGCAGTTTCTTCAGAGCGACCTGGCAGCTGGGTGCTGTCTAAACAGGCGCGCCCCCCTGCCCCCCTGCAGGTGAAGCAGTCGAAACTCGAAACGAAAGAACATGCCCGCATGGATTCGCCAAGATGCCATCTCCCGAAGAGTTTGATTCTCCTTCTCGCGCTGACGCTGCCTTGCGAGAGCTTCGAATACCGAGAAGAAGAGTGTATCCGTATGTCATATGTACTGTAGAAGCGTGATTGCCTCAAGTCGCTTCCGTTTGCTGTATGGTCTTTGTGCGGAGCAGAGAGGCGCAAGCAGAAGAGCAGAAGAACATGGGGCCAGGCATGCTGCCGTCACTAGCCCGTCTACTTCAGGCCTCTGTCAGCTGACCGTTTTTTTTCAACTCATGAGAGCCTTCATCCTATTCAGCACAGGGGTTTGGATGTCGGCTTGGCGGCTGTACAAGGCGAAAGAAGCCGTGTTCGGGCAGCTGCGCCACTGGAGTCGGTGGGTTTGATTGCCAGCCTTTGCTGGCGTCATCACTTTACAAGCAGAACTTAAACATTTCACTTCACGAATCGATCAATCATTCTTTGAACCCTTGGCTCGGCCCTGCGTCAAATTCAGGAATATGGCTACAGCTTTCTGCACGGCGACGATCAAGCTGGTCACCGAATGCCACAGGAGGAAAACGTGAGGCAGGAACATCGTCAATATAAGAATATCCTGGGCTGCAGTGGCCAGAGCGGACAGCTCAGGTGCTTGCACTGGCACGGCACGATTGAAGGTGCAGAGGTTCAAACGCACATATGAGTGATGCAGTAGTCAGTAGCCTGGTCTGCCTGGACACAAACTAAACAGCAGGTAGGCCCCAAGGATTCAAAACTCAAACCCCCGACAGCATCAGGTACAAGCGTCGGCATGGAAGTCTAACAGCAGGAGGCAAAGGTGAAGCGGCATTGTGAACGGAATCAGGAAGCCCCCACCATAGCCTGCCATCCACTTGCAGGAAATTGGACATGCCACGTATTCTGCCCCCGGAACCAAAACAGTTTGCCGTCACTCGTCGAGTCAATGTTGACGCGGGAAGGCCTCGGAAGCCTTCCAAGACCATATACCAGCTTGCAAGCCACGGCCAGTCAGAAAGATTCTCTCCTGCCACCGATCATGTGTGTGCTGCTTGCGTGCTTGTTGGACCACACTGAACGGCTCAGACCGGCAGCAAAGCAGCAAAGCAGCAGTACATGATTCTGGCTGTAGCAGGACATCACTAGTCTGCCATGCGACTCCCGCAACAACACTCCTGCATAGATGTTCTGGATGTCCTCCCATAATTTCATGAGAGAAGACAATACCCCTTAGCTTGAAGAAGCCGCCGTCAGCGTCCGATCTCGAAAGCCGCCGGAGCTTTCAAACTGACAGGAAGACGGTTTGCGGTCCAAGTGTCCATTGGCAGAGGAACTGAGGCGGCTGTGGAGTGTGAGAAAAAAGGTGAGTCCGAAAAGGACCTGGCAACCGGGTCGTCCCTAGCCGGTAGCTGCTCCAAGCCTCTCTTTGGTTGATCCCACCGCAGACCCAACCCCTAGAATGCCCCCGAATGCGTAAGAGTCGATGCTCCGACGCCAGCGGCACCCGATAGCACCGAACCTCCAAAGCATTGGACATCGACGAGTGGAGCCAGTAAACCTGGCAATTGGCATGCGGCGCATGACGAGTACCCCTCTGCACGCAGTCTGGAGTCCAGAGTAGGCCTCTTTGAAGGTCAGATGCGGGTGCAGAGCCCGAATTGGCCATGTCAGAACTGTCCGGGAGATGCTTCTCCTCGGCTTTACCCCTGGAGCGCCTAGGCTCCTTCATGGCAATGAAGAGGGTTTCAAGATGTCTCAAGCGTGTGCTGGGGACGTGGCGGGGATGCATGAGCATGCTGAACCCCACCGAAGCTGCCAGTCGCAAGCAGTCTAACTGCGCCTGGTCCAAAATCAGCCTGGTGGCACCGGGAGCTGAGCAGCATGGATCGCCTAAGTCTAAGTATGGCGCCACTCGGTGCAACGGCCTCTACGGCCTGGAACATCCTGAAATTGAAACACAAAGGCCTAGCCTGCAACAATGCCAGGTTGAGGACATGGTTGGACGTGGAAGAATTTCCTCGCCTCACAAGCCTAGGCCTAACCTCAAAACCTCAAAAGCAGCATGTGAGGCGCCTGAAGCAAGGCAGTCGCAGAGGCGTCCATGGGCACCGAAACCTGCCCGCTTGGTAGCCGAACCACTCCTTCATAGTGACACCGATGTTACTGGCTCGAACTCGCAGCGTCGCAGTCATTTGACTGCCAATGGAGTCGAGCTGTTTGTCCCGCACTCGGCCCCAAGCTTTTCGCACGACTTGATATGACACTATCTTTTGCACTGAAACGACCGATGCGACGAACACCGCAAAGGGTGTGGTCAGATTTTTGATTCAATAACTGCTAAGGTTACAGGCTATCTTCTGTTGCTTGGCCACACAGGCAATAGGGATTCCTTGCCTGTGCAAAGTCGAAGATGGAATGGTCTGCTGATGCGAACACAACCTCCAGCGGGCTTGGCTGATCTGGGATAACGGCATTCCAAGACGTGCGTTGAACTCCGGGCCCGGTGCATCCAAAGATTGGCCGTCAGAACGCAAGCGGACAGAGGCCATAGCCAGCTGCTGCCATTTAGCCACAAGCTTGTCCTGGAGTCTGTTCTGTCTTTGATATGGGCTTTCAGGATCTTCCCGGTGCTCATGGTCAAGAACACTCTGCCCCGCTTGTAGCACTTCAATTTCGGGCTCAATGCAGCAGAGTCCGGCCGCTCAAGCCCGGTTCAGCTGAGGTTCACCCAATCTCAGGCCCGACTTGTCGAAGGCCAAGTGCTTCAATTCTGTCCTCTCAGACATGCAACGGCAAAAAGAATTCAGCTCACGTCTGGCTGCTAAGCTGTTAAGGCTGCTAAAGGCTACTGCTCTTCTTAAGCACGCACTCATTCATCGCAGCATCAACACGAACTGGGCCCGTATCCTGGTCTGCAGCTGACCATTACGTTGCCAAGCAGCCTTGAAAGAATAGAGCTTTTGGAAGAAGCTGTCACAATGGCCGCTGCACTGTCCAGAAGGGCTCGTGGGGATTGAAACTGATGCCGAGATCACTTGCGAACTGGGCAGCCTTTTGCAGCGAGCATTCGCCGGAAGGCGCGGCTGCGGAAGCCATGGCAGCAGCGGGCCGGGTGACGGTACGATCTCCACCGTTGAGGTATGTTGAGGTGATCCGTGCACAAGGTCGAAGGAAATCAATTCGCTTACACAAGACGCCCGATCTGACCATATGCCACCTCCGCGGTGAGTGAGCTTCAACTTGGTAGGCACGCTTAGTTGTGCTGCGTGAGCACTGGCTGCATAAGCCCGAAGTCTCCCGATTGAGACATGGTGCTGTACTTGCCTTGACCTGTTCCAAAGTCCGTATAAACACCGTGTAGATGGGAGGCATGCATATAGATTAGAGGCATGCATTGGCCCATGCATCGTGCGGCCCAGCCGCAGGGAAATCGCACGGTAGAACGGCTCGCCAAATTCCCTCCACCTCACTGTGGCCTCCACAGAAACAGCATCAGGGGACTGAGTCATGCCGAAAAGACCCGTCCAGACCTGCCTAGCAACCGAGTCACATGGGTTGGTGCCCACACAGCGGAGCTGCAGTCTGCAATTGCTGGACAGCTCCAGATATATGTGACAAGTCGTGTGCCAACGACTAGGTAACATACGCGATTCCACGAGCACTGCAAGATTCCACATACAAATTGTGCAACAAAGTGGTATTCGGGCACTGTCACAGTCGCTGGACGGAACTTTGTGCACGAGTCCGAGGGAAAGGTTTTCGCCCTCAACCTGACTGAAATACTCCAGGCTTGAAACTGGCCTCGTCAGAACGAGCTCTCACTGCCTTGGCTGCCAGAGGCTTCGCAATCGCAAGCCGCACAGCCGGCTTCTCCAACAGGGGCTATCATGTAAAGGTACAGTGACGTCTAAGTCTAAGAGTCTAACAGTGCTACGACCGAGGAGCCGAGCCAGATCCGTCCGTGCTTGGCGGCATGGGCATGGCTTGTAGCAGCCTGGGCTGTAGCAGAGATCTTCTGAGGGTCTTCACTACGATGCCAGATGTAGTCCTGACTGCTTTGCAGCAAAAGCCATGAACTGCGGATCCTTTGGGGATTGCCAACCTGTCTGCTGGCTTGCTCGCTGTTCACATTCAACTACAAGCGTAACATGCCAGAATCCTTCCGAGAGGCTGAGTCCGCGTCTTGGAAAAGATCATGCTGACCTGGGAGCTTCTGCACTATTCCAGTTGGCTACAGTTTCGGCAACGCCACACCGTGACTAACCACTTTCGCCCAGCATGAGCACCATATCATGTGCAATATGCTTTCCCATGGCCTCCCGTTCCTTTTGGTCCAGGAAGGCCAAGACGTCCTAACACAAGATCCAATCCAAAGAAGAATGCACACTGGATGTGTAAGCTGCCGTCCGATGTGGGATACCCTGAGGATGCCAACGCAGTGGTGGCAGCTGGCCGTTTCGCCGAGGTGTGACGCACATTTTCTCACCGCCCCAGCCCCGTGATGTTGGGCAAAAATCACTGTCAAGAGCAATTCTCGCCTTGTCGTGGTGCCTGGTGATCGAAGATCCCAGTCATCACGGCACCGTGTTACCACCCCTTGACAGCTACCATGAAGCGAAGAAGTGAGGCAAGATCACATCAGCGCGAGCTTTGCACCTGTAGCCCACTCGAAGCCAAGACGGCGGAATAGTTGAATAGTTCAACGGGTAAAGACACGGAAGGATACCCTGACGATGCCCCAACACAGGCAAGCTTGATGCTAGCAACAGAACAAGATGAACTGCCACACCCACCCGGGAAACACCCCGGCTTTCGAAAGACCTTTTTGTAGCTGGTGTGCGTCGGCTCAACCAGGACCGACAAGAAACAATACAGGCACCAGCACCGCTTTAAGTCAAGCTACAACAGTGGACGCGCACGACAAAGATACTAATGTGAAGACCATGCGATTGGGAGCGATGGCGAGCAGAAGCTGTGGAGTCAACTGTGTGCGTGCAACCAGGAGCGCGGCAGCATTTGTAGGAACGGAACAAACCAAGCCGCAAGAAGGACCTAAACAGGTAGCCTGAAAGAAACAACTGCGAAGAAGAAACTCCAAACCTTAAACCAAAGACACAACAAACATCGCGAGGACTGCCTGCAAAGATTGCTGTTGACCTCTTCCATGCCATGAGGAAACATCTGGATCCGAGTCCTGGAAGGGGTCTGTTGTGCGATGGAGTTTGCCGAATCGAACTACACTGAGACGTGTCGGTAACCCAGAGATTGCGACTGGTAAATCAACCAACTAGAAGCATCCAGATGTTGCAAAGGATGAATTTCTAATCTGGCCGTGCTTCGTCTGTTGCTTCGTCGCATGCAGCAGTGTTGAACCTCGGCTTTGCACCGCTGGGCCGCAGCCAACTAGGAAAGCTTATGCACGAGTCTAGGGGCAGCCAAGAATCTTCACGAATTGCTTCAACCGACACGGCTGATTTTGGGGCAGACCTTTATGTTACAGCACTTGGGACCGAACGATCGACCCTTGTGCACGGCACCTTCCATTCCAAACATCTGCTGCTCGGGGACTGCCCATGCCGGACAACTGTGGAGCACTCCGATGGTGTCGCGGAGGGAGCTGCAAGTTGCGAATGCAGAACTGCGATCTTGAAACAGGACATGATTTGCAACGCTCTGGGCTTCATCCCTCCTGCAGTACGCCAAAAACGAAACAAATCCGCGGTGACATAGGCATATGCTGAACCAGACTGCCCAGCTCGCAGCCAGAGAGGCCTGAAACGCCCCTGGGCG